CCTTTTGCACGTGGGCTTTGGGTGGGGGAGCTATGTAAATGGCGGTTCAAGTTGGGATGGAAGCCCCCCGATTCTCATCTCATCTCATCTCAGCTCCCTCCTTCCGGCCCCTGTTTCCCATGGGAGCACCTCAGCCAGAGGCCTGTACACATCTTATTGGGGAGGGGGGTTATTGGGAGGGCCTGAGGATACACTACCGAGGCGCCGGGCCGCTTCCTCAGGGAACACCCAAGAAGGTCTCACAGCCTTGGAGAACCACACAATTTGGGGATAGACTGCTCTGTCTCTGCTCTTTGCGGCAAAACTAGCCACTTAAGACTATCCATATATGAATATGTATATATCCCTGTTTCAGCTGTGAGAACCAAGTGTATTACTATATTTTCATTTCAGGCGAATGAAGGGCATTTGTATACTGGCGGCGTGAAACCCCAGCATTCATACTGTAGTTTCACGAACAGTGAGTTTCAACACTGTTCGTGAAACGAATAAACTACCGAATGGTCGACCACACACAAGAGGTCGTGTGGCGCCCATTAACCGATTGCAAAATTGTTGCAATCGGTAGTTAAAGGCTTCCCTAGGTGGCTGTCGTTCGGCTACCGACCACGCGGCGGTCGGCCATCTTGGATCCTTTGTTAGCCCAGCGGTATTTTGCCGTTGAGCACCTGGAACTAAAATCGGCTACTGGACGGCGCGAACACCGCTGGACTTCCAGGCCATTCGGGAGCCCCGGGCGTTCGGTAGTTTGTACCCCTAATATCAATCGCTATTTTAACAGTGTGTTGGAAATAATGTGTATTTCGTACGGTGTTCGGTTGGTTAGACTGGGAGCTGAGCGATATTCTCACGAACTGTGCGCTCAGCCTCCAGCTATCTACCAAACGTCCATTCGTTTAAATACAGTGAATAGAAAGAAAGTTATGCATTTTAATGTAAAATGAAAGTTCTGCTGCACGGAGGGATAATCCATTTAACGGTATATTCCAGTGGGAGTATCCCTCTCGTCCAGCAGTGCATGATGGGAGAAATGTATGTGTTGGTCAGTTCCCCATGTAGTCCCCTACTGTACCACCCCTTGGAATGTCAGTAGGGAAACCCCTTGTATGGGGAATCCCATAAATACAGTGACCTGTGATTAAAAGCTCAGTTGACTCCCAGCCTATGTGTCGTCTAGTTCTTGGGAAGGAAGGATTCTTATAACGCTACCGGGATTATTGTATGCTGTATTTATTTCCTTGGATTATTTTATGCTGTTCCTGTTACCCAGCGGAGATACTGTGGATTATACTACCTCTCCGCTACACTCTTCTTATTCCTATTTATGCTCTTGTGGGGGAGGGGGGGGGAGTCACTATGTTGACATTTGTCCCAACCTCCATGTTAATGGACCGAGTGCCATGTGGATAACGTTAGATTTAATGAGCAGGCTAACAACAAAAAAACAACTACTGATAGACAAACCATAACCTTGTTATCCACCAACAATGAGCACTATGTGTGGTGGAGCTTCTACTAGTCTTGTGTTGCTGGGGGGGGCAAGAGGGGGGAGAGATATATGCCTTTAAGCGTTAAGGAAGGGGGAGGGGAGATAATAGTATTAATTATAAACACACAAAAAATAAATAATAACATCAATTGACAGAAAAAAACATACCCTTGTTATCCACTAACAATGAGCACTATAGGTGGAACTGCCACCAGTTTTGTGTTGCTGGGGGGGGGGGGAGGCACGATGGGGGGGAAGGGTATATGCCTTTATGCGTTAAGAAGGGGCAACCGAACACCCTCCAATCTGATTACGCCCCTGTAGCGGAGTAGTAGTATTATCCACGGTATCTCCGCTGGCAGACAGAATAAAGCAGGCAAATTCCAGATAGCGTAGTTACAATCCCTTTCTCCCAAGAACTAGACGACACATAGCTTGGAGGTCAACTGTGGTTTTTAATAACAGGCACAGTATTTATGTGGTTACAATTGTAAGGGGTTTCCCGAGTCACATTACAGGGTTTGTCCAGTAGGGGACTACATGGGGGACTGAGTTCTACAGCCAGAATACCCATCATACACTGCTGTACCAAGGAGATAATTAACCCAGAATGCATTACTAATGGGATTATCCCTTGGTACAGAGAAATACAGTTTTTATATTAAAATCCATAACCTTCATAATATTCATGCTAGAGAGCTACTAAACCCTTTATTACATAGCTGGGACCTGAGCGCACAGTTAATGGGAACTTGTGCTCAGATCCCAGCACAAATAACCGAACGTGGTTCATTTTACTGTATCAGGACCAGTTTAAATGATTGTATGAGCTGAGGGAATAAAAGTCCCGAAAACGAAAAACTCCCGAACGGCTCGGAAGTCCAGCGGGGCTTGTGTTGCAGAGTAGCCGAATTTAGTTCCAGGCACTCTACGCCAAAACCCTGCTGTTTTTTTTTCGTGAGCAAAGATGCCCGCCGCCTCGTGTTCGGTACACAAATGGCGGCCACTCGCAACAGACCGCAATTAACACAGAAACATTGTTGCAAAATACCCCATTGGAGACACACGACCTGCTATGGGTGGTCTCTCATTCGGTACTTTGCAAATTCCACGAACAGTGCGGCGATTCACTGTTCGTGGATATTCAGATTAACACTAGCGGTATTCGTGTGCTGTGTAAGGAATAAAGTATATTTAAGTATATTTAAACCTCATTCGGTAGTTTCCTCCCGAACTGCCAGAGCCTTAGTGATTATAGCCCTCCGTTTGGTAGATAGGGTAGACTAATCCTATAGCAATTCCAATAGCTTCACAAGATAATTCCCTGAGTGAAACACACGAATCCCCAAACATCAGCCGAAGTCAAGAAGAAGGGTACAAAATGAACTAGCCTTTAATGTGTGCACACAGCTTTTATGCAAGTCCCCATGCAAGGGGACAGCCCTCAGGGAGGGACAAACATTAACCAATCACAGGCAATAAAACTTTAACACACACCTACAATTCCCTCCCCTAGCCCAGGAGATAATTCAGTCTGATAAAATAGTAACTTAATTATCTCTGGGCTGAAAAATCACCTTTTCCCCCTGTAGCGGAGAGGCAGTATAATCCACGATATCTCCGCTGGGTAACAGGAACAACAAAGGATAATCCAGGGGAATCAGTATGCAGTAACTGATTAGTAGTAGCACTGTAGTAACCCTTCCTTCCCAAGAACTAGACGACACATAGGCTGAGAGTCAACTGAGGTCTTTATTTCAGCTCCACAATTTATACAAGTCCCCATGCAAGGGGTTTCCTGAGTCCCCTCCCAGGGGCATTCCCAGAGGGGACTACATGGGGGACTTATTGTACAAGACATTTCTCCCATCAGGCACTGCTGCACGAGAGGGATCCTCCCACAGGAATGTACCGTTAAGTGGATTATCCCTCCGTGCAGCAGAACCTACAATTCGTATTAAAATGTATAACTCTTTGAATATACGGTCTATTTGCACGAATGGACGTTCGGTAGATAGCTGGGGTCTGAGCGCATAATTCGTGAGATTACCGCTCAGATCCCAGCTAAAACAACCGAACGCCGCACGAAAAACACATTCATTTAAACATATCTTCAAAAGACCAATTGCATGTAAGGGAACAGGATACCGAACGGCCCGGACCTCCCGAACGGCCTGGAAGCTCAGCGGTGTTCGTGCCGTCGAGTAGCCGTTTTTAGTACCATGCGCTCGACGACCAAACACCGCTGAGGGAACAAAGGATCCAAGATGGCCGACCGCCGCATGGTCGGTAGTCGAACGACGGCCACCTTGGACAGCCTCTAATTACCGATTCAGTTAATAGGCGCCACACGTCTCTAAGTGTGTGGGCTATTAAATGATGGTTCATTCGGTTCACGAACGGCCCGCAAAGGTGCCGTTCGTGAAACGAAAGGAAATCAGCTGCTTTCGGCAGATAGCCAAGGCAGGAAATACAGTTATACAATTGCATTACATTATACGCTGGAACACACATAACACGAAAAACATACAGGCAACCCTTAAAGCGACAGTACTAAAATAATGTCCAAGTGGCTAGGTTTGCCACACCCCCAATATCTAGAACACCCCATTATACTGGGGGTATCCCCATAAATTATATGTCCCCTGATAGCCCTGATCTGGGTGACCAACATATCCGAATTTCACCCTGATCTGGGTGACCAACATATCCGAATTTCACCCAGATCGGTTCAGGGGTTCGCAAAATTTATGGAAGTCTCTTGTGACCAGCTCACCCTGGGCTGTATGCCCATAACAGTTCTATGAATTTGGTGGGTTTTGCTGGTCACTTTCGAAAAAGCATAAAAATGAATAAAATACCGAATGGATCCCTCTAGCTCTTAGCAGCGTTCGTGCCCCTCTGTCAAATGCACCAAAGTACCGAACAGCACTCCTCTAGCTATTCGGTAAATAGAGTGACAGCGTTCGTCTGTTTGGGACAGGTGTTCGGGAAGTCGAGTGTCCGTTTTTAGTTCCATGCACTCGATGACAAGGTCCTGCTGCCTTTGTTCGCATGAACAAAGACGGCCGCGGTTTTCTCTGCCACGTGGCTTTCGACTAACGAACGCTGGCCGCACATACAGAGGTAGCAATTTCACCCAAACTTTGATGTTTAATGAGCCAGAGGGGTGGTCTTTGTTCGGTAGTTCCATCTACCGAATGCAAATGGCAGAAATGGAGATAAAAAGGGAATGCAATGGGTAAATAACATAGGAAACAGGGGGTTTATTCACATGCTGTAACACACAAATGCCGCCTACATTACTCAATACAGTTAACAGCACAATTCGGTTAATATACAGTTCGGCTCTATAAGTGGCTAGGTTTGCCACTGCCCCTGCCAAGCTCACACCCATGTTAGACCCGTGGAATATTGAGAATTGGGCGGGGTAGGGGATCCCGCAGGCCACACTAGGCATGAAGATTGATCACAGTAGCCCACAACCGCTGGAGGCCCCTGGGAATAACGGGCCAATGCGAGACATAACACTTTAAGAGCAGGATCATGGGGGAGAGGCTCCCCCAGAGGGTGGAGATGGGTCCTTGAAGGGAATGAAGCACCCAAACAAGGGGATTCATGCAAACCTTCCCTAGTCTCCATAGCCCAAGTCTTTTGTGCAGGTTATTCCCTTTTTCTGTGACCAACCGCAGGGCCAAAACGCATGGAACCAATTTCGGCTGTTACCTCCAGCGCGGTCGGTCTTTTAATTACTTCCACAAATCTCCCGAACCCCTCGTCCGATCTGGGTGATTTTTGGATATGTCACCCACCCAGATCAGGGCTACCAGGGGATGTAATATTTAATGGGGTGCCCCTATATTTAGGGGTACATCCAGAAACCCAGGGAATTTGTGTCCCGCATAATGGGATTATGAGTCAGGCTAAGGGGAGGGGATGTGTGGGCGGCTACTCATGTATGATTGGATACTGTACTAATGATTGTAAATCCCACCCTTGCATGGGAGAATGCTTTAAAAGAAGGTTGAGTGATTAAAAGTTCAGTTCTGCTCCTGATGCTGTGTGTCGTCCAGTCATTGGGATTGATGTTGGGATATGGTTGGATTGTTTTGCCTGCTGAAAGTATTGCCTTATGTATTTATAATACTTGTTCCTGAGCCTCACTGGGATCTTTGGCTTTATAATACTTGTTCCTGATCCTCACTTGGACTTTTTTACCAAATTGGCAGGATTCATTGAACATCCTCATTTGGACTTCTTTAACAAATTGGTAGGACTCATTTTATGACTTCTATAGTTCTATAGTCATAAAGCCATCACAGAGACTTTTTTTTATTATTTTAGCCCTTTTGTTTTAATTACAGTTTTTTACTCCAAATTGTGGAGCAATAAAGTTCTATTTTCAAAGAAAATCATCCGATTTGTGGAGCCTTCTTTGAAACTCAGCCAGAACAACCATAAGGTCACCTGGAAATAGTAAAGGGACATACTTAAGAAAAGTCCCAAGGCACTATCCATGAGAGCCATATGTAGAGATTTGGCTCTGGGCTTGTGAGTACCCGACTCCAATTCCTACCTATATATCATTTGTATAGATAATATTACACTATATTGTTTTATATATTTTACAGATGTATCCAGAAGTGTGATTCACCTACTATATTGGATGACGTGATTGTGCACGTTTCCGTGGCCGCGAGGCTCTAGGGAGCAGCGTCCAGTGTCCAGCGATTGGCGTTCAGCGCCACATTAGCAGAATGATAAGGGCTGACCCGGATGCCGAATGTTAAAGCTGCAAATGCTGTAAACATTTCTAGTGCTGCAAACACACCAGCGGTATGCTGGCTGCGGTCTGCTGACTGTTGAACGTCATACCATGTTAAGTTACAACAGGGGAGCTGTAACAACTGTAACAATTGATGTCTTGCCACTTTGCTATCTACATTCCTGGGTCGTAAGATGGTATAAGGTTTCTGGACCCCTGGACATTTAATGTTATAAATTCTGAGGATCTGAACTTTAAGGTGGAATTTCAGCTGTGGAATATTGAGAATTGGAGGAAAAGTGTAGCGCGAGAGTTGGGGAAAGGCAACAGTTGTAACCACTTGCAACTAATTAGTAACAGATCTGTTACTGTATACTAGAAGCTGAATTTTGGCTGTGAGGGAAAGCTTCAATGGTAATGGTAAACTGTTTCATTAGTGAGACTGAGTGAGACAGTAAGACAGATTGATACAAATTGTGGCAAACCTAGCCACTTTAGGTCGTACTGTTCAAAGTCTGAAGGTTGTCTTACAAAAGCCGATTTTATTCTGTTTATGTATGTATTCATGTATCTCTGTAATAGAGAGCATTCTTAGGCTAACGGCCGAAAGCCGCTAGCATTCATATGGTAGTTTCACGAACAGTGACTTTACACACTGTTCGTGAAAGGAATAAAGTACCGAATGGGAGCCCACACACAGAGGGTCGTGTGGCTCCCATTAACTGATTGCAACATTGTAGCAATCGGCGGTTAATTGCTTTCCCGGGTGGCCGTCGTTCGGGTACCGACCACGCGGCGGTCAGCCATCTTGGATCCTTTGTTAGCCCAGCGGTGTTTGGTCAATGAGTGCCTGGAACCAAAATCAGCTACTCGACGGCGCTAACACCGCTGGACTTCCAGGCCGTTCGAGAGCACCAGTCCTTCGGTATTTTATTCTCAATTATGTATTCGATACTTTTACGATGAATGTATAATAAAGTGTGTTTCATGCGGCGTTCGGTTATTTATGCTGGGATCTGAGCGGTACTTTCACAAAGTGTGTGCTCAGACCCCAGCTATCTACCGAACGTTCATTCAGTATAATCCTATGAATAATTTTAAAGTTATGTATTTTTGTGTGAATAGCCGGTTCTGCTGCACGGAGGGATAATCCACTTTACAGGATATTCTAGTGGGAGTATCCCTCTCGTACAGCAGTGCATGGTGGGAGAAATGCCCTGTATATTCAGTTCCCCATGTAGTCCTCTACTGTATAACCCCTGTAAAGCAATTAAGGAAACCCCTTGCATGGGGAACCACATAAATACTGGAGTTGTGAATAAAATCATCAGTTGACTCCCAGGACTGTGTTTCATCCAGTTACTGGGGGATTTTGGATATTGCCTTCATTTCCAGTGCTTCACTTGGATTATTGTCTGTACCAGCGGAGATATTGGGATTTAACATTGCAGCACTGTCGACCACTACCATGGGAATACATTGATGGATGTTGTGGCAAACCATGCCACTAAGATACTGACTTTTCTATGCGAATGAAAGCTGGGATTACAATGGCCATATGTGTGTAAAGGCAGGAATCATCAGGGACTCGGTTCACGAATGGACTGCACTATCGTTTATGTGAACGCTTTGAAACTACCGAACGAGGGACCACCCCGGTGTGGTCGTGTGTCTCTTATTAGCAAAAGCAACAATGTTGCAAAGCGTGCTGATTGCGAGTTCCTGTGCGGCCGCCATTTTGCCTACCGAACACGTGGCGGCGGCCATCTTACGCACGAACAGCGGTACTTGGTCGAACGCCTGGAACTCAAATCGGGCATTCGACTAACCAAGTACCGCTAAGACCTCCAGCACGCTCAAAAGGCACGAACCAACCACGCGAACACCCCAGCATTCGGTATGTGGAATCCCACGAACGAGTGGATTCATCTGAATGCTAAATGAAGCCTGGATGCCATAAACTTTCGGGACTTTTAATTCACCAGAAGAGACCGACCGCAGGGCCAGAATTCATGGAACTATTTTCGGCTACTGTGCCCGTGCGGTCGGTCAAATCTTTCCCTGCCATGACTCCCGAACCCCTGGTCCGATCTGGGTGAATTTTGAGTATGTTGCTCACCCATATCAGGGCTACCAGGGGACCCCTTATTCAACCGTGTACCCCCTGTATTTAGGGGACATCCACAAATTGGGGAAAACTGTGTGCATATTAATGATGTTAACTGTTAATCTAAGGGGAGGAGGTGTAGGGGAGTTGACCACTGTGTGATTGGTTACTGTAGTAATTATGAAAGTTACCTCCCTTGCATGGGAAAAATGCATAAAAGCAGAACTGTGAATAAAGACCTCAGTTGACTCCCAGACTGTGTCGTCTAGTCATTGGGGAGGTGGATTATGCTGTGTTCCTATGACTTTGTATGCTGAATCTTTGTTCCCAGCGGAGAGCTATTGGATTAACCCCTGCTACTCCGCTACAGATGTTCATATGACCACACCGTTGGTAATGAACAAAAGTTTCTTGCAGGTATTGATTATCCCAATGTATCTATAGGACACAATATTGGTCCCAAAAGCAGTCAGATAGCCAAACTCTGTGCAGTATATAAGACCATTCAAATGGCAATAGAATATGGTATCAAAGAATTTGTTATCATAACTGATTCCAACTATGTTCGCAACAGTTTCGTTGAATATCTGCCTAGCTGGAAACGTAACCAAATGCTGAAAAGCAATAACAAACCTGTTAAACATGGGAAATTGTTTTGTAAAATCGATGAACTGGTTAAGGAAAATGGTTTAACCATATATTGAAAGAAAACCAAAGGCCATTCTAAAATACAAGGTATTGATAAGAAAGGTAATGACTTAGCGGATTCACTAACAAAACAAGCTGCCCTCAATGGTGAAAGCCTAAACATTGACGATCTTATGGGTTCAATTCATCTTGAAGCCATAACTAGATGACAGGCCAGAGATAATGCCGACTTAAATGTTGTGCAATGGAGTCAAGAAGCTCCTAATCAGGACCTGATTACCAGTCAAAAGAATGACTAGGTGTATTCTATAAACATATAAAAGACCATGCTGCCAATCCCATCACAGATAATGAAGATTTACGAATCTTGATAAGATATAAAGTCCAATTTAGTATCATGGATGGTTTGCTTGTCAGAACTTTTAAACATGGCATACAACAATGGGTAGTCCCAACTGTATACAGAGGGTTAATGCTCCAACACGCACATGATGCACCTACATCTGGGCATCGTGGTGATAAGATCACATATGAGATATTGCGTGATTATGCATATTGGCCACACATGTTAAGGGATGTTAAGACATACTGTCAGGGATGCTTGATTTGTCCGCAATATCAACCCCATGGTCCAACCCATCGTGCACCACTTCAGAAGAGGGGGGTGTCATTACCCTGGTCTGATATTCAAATTGACTTTATAGGTCCTGTAACAAGATCTTCAAGAGGTAACAAATACATGTTAACCGTTACATGTATGTACACAAAGTGGATAGAATGTTTGCCTTGTAAAGAGAACACGAGTACCGTGTGCGCCACTTTGTTGATTAACCATGTCTTTTCCAGGTTCGGTCTGCCTCAAAGAATTGAGTCAGACAGAGGTAGTCATTTTACCAGCGAAGTAATGGCTAAGATGTGGAACATTCTAGGTGTTAAACGAAAGCTACATATTGCATACCGCGCTGCGTCTAGCGGGGGGTAGAGCGATATAACTAGTCTATCGTTAATATTCTGAAGAAGTATGTTAAGGAGTCTGGTACAGACTGGGACATTAAATTGCCCCTAGTTTTAATGGCGATTAGAGCTACACCTGGCACTACTACCAAATTGTCACCTTTTGAATTGATGACAGGAAGAAAGATGGTTTTACCACAGCATTTACTATATCGTACTTCGGATCATAATTTGATCAATGCTGCCACTACACATCAGTATATCGAAGATTTGCGCAGGCACTTACAGCATGTGTTTGCTTTTGCCCAAAAGAATCTAGAAAAAGCAGCAACAGGGGTTAAGACCTATTATGATCTAAAAACCACGAAAAAGGAAAATGAGATAACAGATCAAGTCTATCTGTATAACTTTGCACGAAATCAAGTTAAGGAAAATACATTTTTACCTTCTTGGAAAGGGCCATATTTCATAATTGACAAAATTTCCCCAGTAGCGTACAAGATAAAAATTCCTAAGGATGGTGATTTTATTGAAAAGTGGGTTCACATTAACCAGTTGCGTGCTTGTCATCCTAAATCTCAATTAAGGATTATAGGTGTGGATTCAGACGCAGAAGGATGAACGACTAACCTGGATGAATGCTTGATTCACGTGGTATTGTATGATGTGAATTGTTGTGATGTGCCATGATCTCATGTACGTTCATGTCATTAACCATTTCCTCGCCATCCAATAACTACATTTTCTAAGCAGGTTACTAGCTTGTTTAGCTGCTATAGGCGAATTACTGAAGAGTCAGTAATAAATGTAGTGAGGGACGAAGTTATAAAAATAGAATTAGAGAGAATACATATGTTGATGAATCGTAATAATGTGTTGTCCTAGGCCAAGTGATGTCACGCTATTATAAGTTTGTATGCTTAACCACCCTTGAATCATTAGTAGATAAGTCTGAGACGAGTTCCTGATCCGTGACTGTCAAAAGATGTCCAAGAAGGATGTGGCGTGTTTCTGGATCGTACTGCTCCTGTGCCAAGAGCTACGGACCAATCCGATCACAGAGGTGGGACCATCCTCCGGCATCCCGATTCAGGAAACTCCAGGGTTCATCTTGACAGAGAAGAACGAACGTGTGTTCGTCAGCTGGGACCCCAAGATTTCCATCGAGAAGGCGTACAACATTTCATCGATGCAGCTTCCTGAGTTACAAACTTGGTACCAGATGCACCTCCAAAGAGCACAGGACTGTGTGAGAAACATCTTGGAGCAAGCCCAGAAACCTTTTGTATCCAGTACTGTTCCGATGAGCAACCGACCCCAAAAGTTCCTCACCTCTATAATTGTTGCATTCGTTTGTATCACTGTCGGTGCAGTCGTCGCAACTGGAATATCTGCAGCCATCTCTATTACTGTCGAAAAGCTGGATATGGAAATCAATGCGCTAAAACAGCACATTAACGATATTCATCAGGTGATTAAACAGCAAAGAACACTTCTCCAAGACGTGTTAACTATTGTAGAAGACACAGTTGTTACAACACAACAAGTCCACTGAGTTGCACCAAAGTCACGACTTATTTAAGCGTGAACTTCTATTTCGGCATGACCCAATAGTATTCCACACACTTGCTTTTCTTGACGAGGTGCAAACCGGAATGATTGAATTGGCAGGGGGACGCATATGTAGCGGAGCTGCAATATGAAATCCCAATTTCTCCGCTGGTTAAGAAAATAATCCAAAATAAAGCGCTGGAAAGTAAGTCAATATCCCAAATCCCCCAGTAAGCGGACAAAACAGTTCTGGGAGTCAACTGAGGTTTTTATTCACAGCATCCAGTATTTATGCAAGTCCCCATGCAAGGGGTTTCCTGAGTCACATCACAGGGGTATTACAGTAGGGGACTACATGGGGGACTTAACATTCCGACCTTTTCTCCCATCAGGCACTGCTGGACGAGAGGGATACTCCCACTGGAATGTACCGTTAAGTGGATTATCCTTCCGTGCAGCAGAACCGGCATTTTACATTTAAATCTATAACTTTAACAATACTTGGTAGATTTAAACGAATGGAAGTTCGGTAGATAGCTGGGGTCTGAGTGCACAGTTCGTGAGAATACCGCTCAGATCCCAGCTAAAACAACTGAACGCCGCACTAAATACACTTTGCCATTGAGTTTGTCCCAAAGTACCGAACACTGATGGGGAAACCCTAATAGCGAAAGACCGGAGCTCCCGAACGGCCTGGAAGTCCAGCGGTGTTTGCGCCGTCGAGTAGCTGTTTTCAGTTCCACGCGCTCGACGACCAAACACCGCTGGGGAGACAAAGGATCCAAGATGGCCGACCGCCGCGTGGTCGGTAGCCGAACGGCGGCCACCTAGGAAAGCATCTAATTACCGATTGCAACATTGTTGCAATCGGTTAACGAGCGCCACATGTCCCTCTGTGTGTGGGCTATTAGGGGGTAGCTCATTCGGTTCAGGAACACCCCGCAATGGTGCTGTTCGTGAAACGAAACACATGAATGCTAGCGGCTTACGGCAGCTAGCATACAAATTCAATACAGCATATATTAACACACAGGATACAGCCAGGCAATATAAAAGTTACAGGAATAATACAGGCAACCTTTTTATATACATAGTCCAGATTATTACAAGTGGCTAGGTTTGCCACATACACCTTTAAATGTTGTACCCCCTTGTGGCAAAACTAGCCACTTATGACTGTTTTTGCATAAATGTGTTTCTATAGCTTTAAGGTTGTTAGAACCAAGTGTATTCAGGTATCTGTATTTTAGGCGAACAAGAGCATTCGTATGCTGGCGGCATGAAAGCCACCAGTATTCATACAGTAGTTTCACGAACAGTGAATTTCAACACTGTTCGTGAAACGAATAAACTACCGAATGGGAGACCACACACAGTAGGTCGGCCATCTTGGATCCTTTGTTAGCCCAGCGGTATTTGGTCGTCGAGCGCCTAGAACTAAAACCGGCTACTCGACAGCATGAATACCGCTGCACTTCCAGGCCGTTCGGTAGTTTATACCCCTACAGTCAATCGGTATTTTAAATAAAGCTAGAAAATGTGTATTTCGTGCGGCGTTCAGTTAGTTATGCTGGGATCTGAGCGGTATTCTCACAAACTGTGAGCTCAGACCCCGGCTATCTACCGAACGTCCATTCGTTTAAATAGAGTGAATAATGTGGAAGTTATGTATTTTAATGTGAAATATTGGTTCTGCTGCACGGAGGGATAATGCGCTTAACGGTATATTCCAGTGGGAGTATCCCTCTCGTCCAGCAGTGCATGATGGGAGAAATGTCCAGGTTGTTAAGTCCCCTGGAATGTCAGTAAGGAAACCCCTTGCATGGGGAATCCCATAAATAGGGTGACTTGTGAATAAAACCTCAGTTGACTCCCAGCCACACGTCCCTCTCTGTGTGGGCTATTAGGGGGTAGCTCATTCGGTTCACGAACAGCCTGTAAAGTGGCTGTTCGTGAAACGAAACACATGAATGCTAGCGGCCAAATATCAAGTCATGTTGTGTGAAAACTCCAGGATTCACATTTAAACTGTTGTGAAGAAATCCCCCGTTTGTTACACTATTATACACTCTGGCTCGTTAAACATCAAAGACTGATTCAATTGCTACCTCTGTCTGTGCGGCCAGCGTTCATACAGCCGAACGCCACGTGCCAGAGAAAACCGCGGCCATCTTTGTTCATGCGAACAAAGGCAGCGGGACTTGGTCGTCGAGTGTATGGATCTGAAAACAGACACTCTACTTCCCGAACACCGGTCTCAAACAGACGAACGCTGGAACTCTACTTACCGAATAGCTAGAAGAGCGCTATTCGGTACTTTGGTGCATTTGACAGAGGGGAATGAACGCTGCTAAGAGCCAGAGGGATCCATTCGGTACTTTGTTCGCTTTTCTTCTATTTCTAAAGTGACCGGCAAAACACACCAAATTCATGGAACTGTTTTGGGCATACAGCCCAGGGTGAGCCGGTCACACAAGACCTCCATAGTTTTTGCGAACCCCTGAACCGATCTGGGTGAAATTCGAATATGTTGGTCACCCAGATCAGGGGACATGTTATTTGTGGGGATATGACAAGTATAAAGGGGTGTCCCAGTTATTGGGGAAAAAGGTGATTTTTCTGCCTGGAGATAATTAAGTTTTTTATCAGATCTAATTATCTCCAGAGCTAGGGGAGGGAACTGTGGGTGTGTGTTATGGTTTTACAGTATGTGATTGGTTAATGTTTGTCCCTCCCTGAGGGATGTCCCCTTGCATGGGGACTTGCATAAAAGCCTGTGTGATCATTAAAAGTTAGTTCATTTTGTACCCTTCTTCTTGACTTCGGCTGATGTTTGGGGATTCGTGTGTTTCACTAAGGGAATCATCTTGTGAAGCTATTGGGATTACTATATGGTTCGTCTACTTTATCTACCGAACAGAGGGCTATAATCACTAAGGCTCTGGCGGTTCGGGAGGAAACTACCGAATGAGGTTTAAATATACTTGGTTTCCTTACAACTGTCAATTCACTAAACCCAGCTAACTTACTCCCAGAACCTGACCAAACTCAAAAACGACTGCATAGAAATTATGGATGAAGTGTTCTTCAGTAAACCTAAACTCCGGGATTATCCTCCGGATAGACCGGACACTGAATACTTCACTGACGGCAGTGAAAGACGGATAGATCAGATATGCAGGATATGCAGTAACTACTGCCTGTTTAGCTGAAACGTTGCACTTTATGAGGTGGCGTATTCAGAAATAAACTTTACCTTCTTGATCCTGGAGTGGTGCCTGTGTTCTTGTAGGTCTTTGAGTCTACTGGTGGATTCGGTGATTCGAAGCGATCTGGGCTCCTGCCCAAGTTAGCATTATCTACTGCCGAGCCCACCAGAAGGGCAACACCCATGTGACTATTGGAAACAGGCTTGCTGACGGCACTGAAAAACATGTCTCTATGAAAGACTCCGTACATCAGTCAACGCTTGCCCTGCTGTTCCCAGTTTCCATCAGTGACTGGTCCCCTTTTTACAGCCCTGCTGAACAAAAATAGCTAGAAACAGAGCTGGGCCAGTACCTGGACAACAAGTGGTAGAAGATGGGATAATAGTTGTACCCACATCATTAGCCGTGAATATTGTCAGGGCTTTCCATGAGTCCACCCATGCTGGAAAATCATCCATGGAGGCTACTGTTTCTTCTACCTACCAGGCCTGTCTACAGTAACACAAGCAGTGGCCAGAGTATGCATGCTGTAACGGAGCACCCTGTACCCCGGGCTGGGTACCTCCGCCAAGGACCACTTTCTAGCTGGTTCAGGGGACAAACCGCAGCACTTCTGCCCACAGTCGCTGTGGCTTGACTGGGGCCCTGGAACTGCTCCTTCCTGCAGCCGAATGGGGAATTAGCTCTAGTCCTTACAAGGACATTCGCCGTTGAATCCCCTGCATGCTGGAACAGCAGACACAGAAGTAAATCTTCTTTCCCTCCAATAACAGAATGACACAGTTTTGGAGTGTAAGCTGGAATAGCATTTTAATGGAGCCACACTGGCCTTTTATGCAAGTTTCCCAACAAGTGCGACACCCAGGTGAACCTTGTTGGGCACAGGGACACAAAGTGAACAACCCAATAAAAACAGTCATACAGTGAGACATTCCCATACACAAACAATAGAATTCCTACTCTGGGATTGGGAGATAATTGAATCAGGAACTGTACTAATCTAAACTAATTATATTGCAGTTCTAACTTCAATTATGGCCAGGATGATATTGTGCAAACGGACGAACAAATTGACGAACGACCGCCCACCCTGTGGAGTGTGCGGCTTGTTAACCCCCCAGAAGCTGTGGTTAACCGCTGCTAAAGTGGCGAACAGCTGGGTGGTGGCATTCGTATGAAGGAACATATGGTGGCAGCCATTTTAATTCAGTCAAACACGTTCAGCTGTGTTTGGTCATCGAGTTCATGGAACTCAAATCGGACACGCGACGGCACGAACACGCTAAACTTTACCTTCTCTGGAACTTCAACTGGAGTCGAACGCTGTTCGACACTTCGAACGGCACTTACATTGACGGTTTGCACAAACAGTGGACGTTCATCTATTTGAACTGACTTAAACATTGGAAATAGACCGGCCGCACAGCCAAATTCTCTGGAACTGTTTTGGGCATGAAATCATGCGTGCGGTCGGTCAAAAGAGACTTCCATAGACACTTGAACCCCATGGAGATTTGACGGTGTTCATGGGATCTGAGCGCTATTCGGATATATTGAGCACTCAGATCCAAGCTATCTGGAGATAGGTCGAATGTGGGGGTTGCGTTCGGTGAAATAGGTTATGTATTTTAATGTGTTTTTGTTACAGTTTTTACTTAGAGAGATTTTCTGTACCTGGAGATAAGTTTACTACAGCCACTTAAGCTAATTATCTCCAGGATAGAGGGGAGGGATTTTACTGTTACTGTGGGAGGGTTTTACATTGTGTTAATATTTGATTGGTTTATGTCCTTTGTGTGCATGTGTACCATCAGGTCCAGGGGGTGTGCCTCTGGCATGAGGAATTGTATAAATTGGGAATGCTGGCTTACATTAAACAAAACCTGTTCTACCCATCATGAAGTCTTGGCTCATGTTTGGGTGATTGGTGAACTACCTACACTCTGGGGATTGCCATAATCCCTATACTCTCCAGAGTAAGCTCTTGTAAGAGCTTGTTCCTGTTCTCTGGATTGAAGAGAGGTCTACCCACTGGAAGCTGAACCTTGGTCTTGGGTCCAGAGTGGGTGGAAGATGGTGAGACCCCAACCAAGCTGCGGTGGTTCGTGGGAATCTACAGTGGTTATGGTGACTGGTGGAGTGCTTGGAGCCCTCGGTGAGCACTAGGAGCATCCGTCAACGGAAGGTACCCAGTCGGGGTGCCAGGTGTTCCGCTACAGTACCATTCTCAAGACGTCCACAAAAAAAAAAAAAAAAGAGCAAAGTAATCATCTTTTAGAGGTTCCACATTACAGTACAGTCAAGGACCATATATTGTGTAGGAGATCCTTAACCCTTTAATGACCAAACTTCTGGAATAAAAGGGAATCATGACAGGTCACGTGTCCATTAACCCCTTTAGAACACATGATTCCCTTTTATTCCAGAAGTTTGGTCCTTAAGTGGTTAAAGGAACAGACATAAATCACTTTCGCTTCCTGAGTCTGTCATATGTGTGACAGTTTATTTCCATATAAATCAGCACTTCTATAAACCGTTGCTGAAATGCCTCCCCAGCTGTCGGACAGCCAGAGAGCATTACACCATCACTACCAGGTATCTTGACAGTTTGCTTTTTTAAATGACCGTTTTTAAGTCCCATTTATTTTATTTTATTTACCTTCTATCTCTCGCTATACAAGAGATACAATTAATACATAGATTGCTGCAGTTAAAGATCACTCTCAGAATCACAGCTTTTGCCATTAAGTGGTCGTATTATGGCTCTCAAGCAGTTCCTGTGATGATTACATAATGACTTTAGTCTGTGATGCTGGGATATGTATAAATTGCTGAAACATAACCTGAATTTATTGTAGGACAAACCTTTTTTTTAACGTGTCTCATTTTATTCAGCTTAATGAGTGTTATGTTTCATTTATATACTCATTCTACTTTTCAGAGATTATATATTCTTCATTTCAGGTTTACTTCTGTTGTGAACTCTTTGATGAGACTTAAGTTGGCTTTTTTGAGCAAAACATTTCCCACATTCAGTACATAAAAATGGTTTCTCTCCTGTGTGAATCACCAAATGTCTATCGAGTGTGCTTTTTAGAGTGAAACATTTCCCACATTCAGAACATGAATATGGTTTGACTCCTGTGTGAATAATCACGTGTCTATCAAGGGAGCTTTTCAGACTAAAACATTTCCCACACTCAGAACATGAAAATGGTTTAATCCCTGTGTGAATCTTGAGATGTCTATTAAAGTTTCCCCTTTGACCAAAACATTTCCCACACTCAGAGCAGGAGAAAGGTTTCTGTTCCCTATGAGTCCATTCATGACCAATAAGAGTTGTTTTCTTACTGAAACATTTCCCACATTCAGAACATGAAAATGGTTTCTCTCCTGTGTGACTCCTCCAATGAAACTTAAGAGATGAACTTTTTTTAAAGTATTTCCCACATTCAGAACAATAATATTTCCGTTTTAGCTTTTCTCCATTATGAATGAGATGACGTTTGGGAAGAGACTTTGTCTGACTATGTTTCTCATGTTCAATTCGGGAACGTGATTTAGCTCCGTGGCAAGTTTTGAGACACCGGATAACATGTACTTTTGATTGTAAACATCGATGTCCAATAAAATTAGTTTTACAGGTGAATTTTTCCCCACATTCAGAACAAGCCACTTTTATTTGATTTAAATTTGTGAGTGAAACATCAGGACCATCACAGTTATTGTTTTTCCCCTTAGATTGTCTCACAGGATCACACACAGGGGTTTGAATGTCCAGGTTATGGAGATTCCCTTCTTCATATGATGCTGGATCCTCCTTAAAATGAATAGCAAAACATTCTGTCTGTGTCTGTTCTGTGGGTGTATAAATGTTAGTGTCTGTGAGATTTCCCTCGACACATGATGCCGATTCTTCCTTAATACAGGTAGATGGATACTCTGTCTGTTCACTGTTAGTATAAATTTCAGTATCCATGTGATTTCCCTCTGCACACAAGGCTGGTTCCTCCTTCATATGAGTAGATGGATATTTAGTCTCTATTGTGAGTGTATAGATGTTAGTGTCTGTGAGATTTCCCTTGGCACATGATGCAGATTCCTCTTTAATATAAGTGGATGGATACTCTCTCTGTTCTGTGTTAGTATAACTGTCAGTGTCTGTGAGATTATCCTCTCTACACGAGGTTGGTTCATCCTTAATACGAGTAGATGGATACGGTGTCTGTTCTGTGGGTGTAATAATGTCAGTGTCTGTGAAATTTCTGTTGTTTTGTGAGACGGATTCCTTCACATTAAAGGCTGATGGAGATTTTGTTTGTGAACATTCTTTCAGTGAGTAAATGTCTCCAGCTGATAGATTTCTCTCTTCATATAACGTTATTTCAGGTCTAACAGACGTGCTGGGTTTCGTGCTTCGGTCATTAAAAGTCATAGAATTTCCTCCCTGATTAACTGTGCCTTCACCTTCGGTCACACAATTTGCTGACAGAACATGGATGGGTAAATCATCGGTTTCACTTAAGTTGAGATCTGCTGGAAAGAAAACAAATAGAATGACAAACCTTCCTTTTATCTATTTTATTATGCATTCTGTAAATACACTAAAGGATTAACGATGATGGTAAAATATTGAGCACTGCTGTCACATTATGTACAAATCATTTAAACAGAAAAGACAAAAATAAGAAAAATGCAGTTATCAAACTCTGAAGGCACAGTGAATAAAGTACCTGCATCTATACATCTCTCGCTACTGGTTTCTGCAGCAGTCTCCACCAATAGATATGGTCTGGCTCCACTCATTGCAGTTTATGTCTGTTGATTATTTTGTTTTAAAGAACACTACAAGCACCATAGCCCCTACAACACACTGTAGTAATTATGGTGGCAGGAGTGTCCTGGCACCCCCCACTGTAAGTAGACAAACTGGTTTAGAATGGTTTGAAAACCTCCGGGTGCTGCTCCACACCTTCACAACAATGGTACAATGGACTCGGCCTTCAATAATTCCTCCAAGTCAGTCTCAAAGTAATTGAAATTGAACTAAATGAAAAGTTGCTGAATAGAATGAATATGCCCCTTTAACACAACTACGAACACAGGACAAGTGAAGTTCAGGCACTAGTAATCAATGTCTTAAACAATCAATTCTAGTTCCAATGAATTTATACAGAAAAATAAGCTGCACCAAAATCAGTGCAAAGCTCCTTATAAAATGATTTTTTTTTTTTTTTTTTTTATTCTTTATTTTTGTGCGCATATAGGCTTAACAGACTTGCTTGTGGTACCCCAAAGGCATTCCACACGCTTATATCAATGGCATTTGTTACAGTGGGGCATATAGAGATATGTGCACGTTTTTATATATTAAGTGAAGTTAAATACTGAAAATACATGAGTAATAGTAAAATATGCATCCAACAGGTACCTTAGCTAGGTACAGACAATCAACACATATTCAGAAATCACGGCAATGTCACGTCTAAGATATGCAATACGGTAGGCAAAGATGCCAGACACACGTTAGTGTGCTAGTTAGTTAGCGTTATACCCCTGCTATACACATTGAGAATTTAACCTGTTGTGTTGTCCGAGTATGGTTAGCTGTAGCAAGGTAGGGTTAGCGATAAATTACCGTGTTAGATTAGCTACACTAGTATAATCGTGTCGTGTTATCGTGTCTAGCACTATATTAATAGATAGGTAGTGTGTGATGCAGGGAGGAGTCACCCCATTAATGTATAGGCTACATCTCGTTGGGTGACGGATATCTTCCCTAAAGCTTGTGTACATTGTAGAAAGCAATCTGGAACACTCGTAGTATGACTGATTTTAAGCTTGCAGTAAACATAAGAGGCAAACCATTAATCTCGGGCTAAACCCACTTGTCTGTACAACATTCAAGTGCTTTGCGTTTGAACTGAGCTGGCTAGCTAGTCATGGTATACTATATCATACTGAAACGTAACACACTAAATAACATACATAGTGAACAGATGAAACAAAACGTTATTGGCTATGCTATGCAATCTAACGTGTTATTCTCTGTATTATACAAAGCAAGCTAGGTTATCTGAGCATCTGGGTATCCTCAGAGTTCTCTTGGTGTGAGCAAAGGCTCTGGCTGGAAGCCGGATGGTGAGGCAGCCCCCCCTCCCTCAGCCAATGCTCGCTCAGGAGGCCGTGGTTGCGGGTCCGGAGCAGGGCACCGGCAAAGGGATAAGGCCTGCATATATATTTCTAACATGGGAACTGAAGAATCAAACGATGTATCATAAAGAATAAAAAATAAAGAAAAATAAAGAAAAATAAAATAACTGCGCTCAAGCATCGGCACTGCTGCCGCTGTAGATAGCTTGAGTGTCTCTATAATGAGAATTAGGCAAATGCCCGGGCACAATATAGGTTGCAAAAATGAGGATTATCCTGTAGCAGGAAAAACGCAGACTGTCACTGGGGGTTTTTCGCGGCATCTTCTGCCTTCTTCTCGGTCTGCTTGTGAAGGTCCGTCTCTGGATGTTGTGAGAACGGCTGAGTAGAGTTCCCATGCCTTCTGTGCTGTAAGTCCTTGTGTCTCCGATTGAAAGGGGTTATAGTTCCTGCATTATGGGCCGAATCGTTGGTTTTTGAGTGTGCAAGTCCGGGTTGTGTCCCCTGATGCCCGTTCTGGTGGTTTGCCTGTGGGGTGGTGGATGTCTGTCTCAGGTGGTGGCCGTGGCGTAAGAGTCCATCTGTGTCCTCCGGGGAGTGAACTCTGGGGCCTTCGCGTTTTGTCCTCTGAGTGAGGGCTTAAGGCCTGTTGGTTGTGTCGGTGGGCATGGTGGATCCGTGGGTAGGTTAAGTAAGCCCAGTGTCTCCTTGGCCTCCTGCATATCACGGACCACATGTTTGGTACCTTCCTTGTCGATGAGAAGTGAGCGGCCCGGTCCCCAGCGGTACCGGATTTGATGGAGCCTCAGTAGGGCCGTAAAAGTATTCATGGATCTTCTCCATGCTAGCGTCGCGCCCAAGAGGTCGTTGTAGAAAGAGAGGGTCATCCCCTCAAAGGGGTAAGTTGACAGACCTCTCGTGGCCTCCTGGACCGCCTTTTTGTCCCTGGCTAATTGGAACTGAACGATTAAGTCCCCTGTGGCGGCGGGTGGGGCCTTTGCTGGCTGTGGTATGCGGAACAG